ATGGATGGATGGATTGATTGATTGATGGATGGATTGATGGATTGATTGATGGAGTGATGGAGTGATTGATGGATGAATGGATGGATTATTGTCCCCAAGGGGAAATCTGTCTTGGTCATCGTGCACTAAACAAAGCTTCTTCCACAATTAAATACATTATAACAATAAAAGTCATGTGAGCACCACAATAAAATAAAAAAAACACATACCGCTCATTAAGAACACATATTGCACCATCCCACATACATTCCAGCAAGTAAACGAAACAACAAATCAGGCCAGAGTGTCACCAGCATGACAAAAGACTATATGCCTACTTTATTTAACAATTTGATTGTTGTAGGGACAAATGGATTTTTTAATCTGTTGTCTATAAGCAGTGATTCTAAACATTTTGCTAGATGGTAACGGTTCGTACTGCGAATTGAGGATGTGAGCGGGGTCAGACAGCACCCTCCGAGCAAGTCTGAGGACAGACTCATCATAGAGAGACTGCAGGGAGGAGTTATCAGTCTTTCCCATCACCTTCATTGCAGTTTGCATGTGATATTTAGAAGCTCGTAAGTGGCTGTTGTGTTTAAAATGAGTGTTTATGTAAATATTTTCAGTTTACATATCCAATATAAGTTTTATTCATTCAAGACAGTCATATTTGTTCATAACTTTATTATTAGTAAGCCTGAGAGTTACCAGATCCAAGCAAACGGTTACCAGAACGCACACCGTCAAAATAAGAGCGTTCTCGGATCCTGTTCCGATAGGATCCAGCTCAAACTGAGCCCTGCTTACAGGCCATGTGAGATACTGCGTGAGATAGTGCATAACGTTACTTTGAAGCTTTGCCCTAAATTGCTACAGCTCTGTCATTTCTCAACATCAAGTGATTGAATGAAATGCAAGGAATGCAAGTTATATTTCTGTGCAGGGGAGGGTTAAAGAAGTAGCAAGGTGTCACACCATTTGTTTGTGCGATTGTTTAGCTTAGATCTGCACACACACATCCTTACTGTTCCCGTTTCCATTGTCGTCTCTGTGCGGCGTTTCTGCACAGAAGCTGATGTCGGGGCCAGCCACTCAGCGGGGCGGCAACACTTGTTGGCAGGTCTGGCTCGCCTCCTACTGACTGCCACTTCTCTCCTGCCAACTCGCGCACCGTGGGAGCTAAAAACCAAGGGAGCAGAGACACTGTGTGGATCAGCCAGGGGGCAGAAAGTGTGCTGAGAGAGCTCGAATTGGGGGGTGGGGGTTGAAAAATAGAGGTAAAATGAATCAAAATGGCAAAGATGATTATTTTACTGAGAAAACGTTATAGATGAAATGAACAGAAAAAGCTTTTGAGGTTAACGTATAAAGAGTTCCAGGTGAGAGATAAGTAACCACCATCCATGTGAGAAAGTGTTTGTGTTGCACTTTGTTTTCTTTTGGCCTTTTCCACCACAGGCAGCTGCACCAAGCCTGATTTTTTTTTTTTTTTTTTTTTTTTTTACTACATTCATATAAAGATATGCCAAATGGAAAAGGCTGAAAAGCAGGGCAAGTCAGAAACTAACAAAAGCCAAGTAAAACTAGAGAATTTGCATGTTCTGCGAAAATGCAAGTGTGAATGCTTCTTGCTTAAGAATGTCAAGAAAATAGTTGAAAAGTAGCTTAAAACAACAGAAAGAAGCTTCAAATATAAGAAGGAAGCAGAACGTGCACAATTGTTCCTAATGTAATGGACTGCCAGGCTGCTGTCAATATAAACTGTTGATCTGACAGTACTATGTGTTTGCTCTCAGCTACCGCTATACCAAATTTAAGCTGAATAGCTCTAAAAATGCCTGAGGTGTGGTTTTTTGTTCTTTTTTAGCTAAGGTGACCATCTTGGATTTTTGATTTGGATTCAGAATGTGATAGGGAACGTTCTCAGCTATAACCTCACCAAATTTCAGCTCTGCATGTATAACAATGGCTGAGTTAAATCAATTCAAAAGAAGCATTGCTGGCCATCTTGGAATTTTGATTTTGATATGGCATTTGATGGGAAACATTGTCAGTTATCGTCACACCAACTTTCAGCTCAATATGACTAAAATTGGCTGATTTATGGTGTTTTTTTCCTTTTTTGCTTTTTGGATTTTTGATTTTCAGTACGAATCTATTGGGGATTCTTGCCGGCTACCAATATGCCAAATTTCAGCTGGATAGCTCTAAAAATGGCAGAGTTATCATGTTTTTTCTATTAAACAGCTGAATAGTAGCTAAAGAAATCTAGAAAGAAGCTTTAATTTCAAAAGGGAAGTGGAGGGAGCTTAATTGTGCCCACTTAGGCTTAAGTAGGCATAAATTAGCACAATAAAGTAGAAATTATCTGGGAAAAGCTGAAACTTGCTCAGAACAGCTGAATAGTAGCTAAAACAAACAAGAAAAAAAGCTTAAATTACTAGAAGGATGTTGAGAGAGCATGTTTTTTGCTGAATTGGGCTGAAAAAATTAAATGATTGCAAAAAATGTGGAATTAGCTGATAAATAAAATTAGCATAAAAACAGCTAAATGCTAGCTGAAATAGCAGAAATGGCTGAAACTTGCAGAAATAAGCTGAAAGGAGCAGAACAAGCTGAACTTAGCATAAACAAGTTTGAAAAAGCACGAAAATGTTCAAGTTAGATGAATCAAGCTGAAAGGAGCACAAAACAGCTGAAATTAGCTGAAGTAGCTGCATTTTGTTTAACATTTTGCACAATGAAGCTGAAAGAACATTAACCAGGTCCAAATGTGAAAGTATTAGTACAAGGTTGTAAACAGATTAAAAGTTATTAAGGACGTAAAATGAGCTCCATTCGGTTTCAATGATGGCCAAAATGGCAGAAAAGGCTAAATATCTCAAGAATCTAAAGTTGCACCAGTACCAAAAGTAAGAGCAGACTTGTCCTGAAACAGGTGAACGAATGAATTGTTGAAATCGCACAAAAACTGAGGGAGCTGTTAGATGCCAAAAAACGTACGAAAAAGATAAAGAAGGAAGAAAAAATATAAACAGGATCACTATAGTGTGAATGTTTCTGTTGAAGCATTCACACTGTAAAACTCAATGAATGCAAAACAAACAAGTTGTTTAGGTGATAAATTGAATTTGGGGGGGTGGGGGGGGGTTGTTATAGATGAAGGTGATGGAAAGAGAGGGAAATAATCATTTAACTCATAGTCAATGAAACAAAGGAATCGGCAACAAATAGTTCAAATTTTTCCACACAATTATTTTACTTTTAAACGTTTGTTCTTCTGCCTTTTAGGAAAAAAATAGCTTATGAAACAATGGATGGATTTCATTGAAACTCTCTGAAAGTAATCGGTGGATTTACTGTATATCTACAACTGACTGAATATTGGAATCAATGTAATTTATGGCCACCGCAGCTAAAGAAAGAGTGGCACAAGAAGTGGCTACGATATGATCAGTTTAAAACAATTTGATCTAAAATTTGATGTGGTGGTAGTTGAGACTAATCAACAGCAAATACTCCGAGCGCTACATTTTAATGAAAAATTTAGAAAGCAATTATTGGATGTACACTTAAAGCTGCTCAACTTTTGGAGTTGCCCAAATTCAAGATGGCCTCTGTAGCATTTGCAGACACAAAAATGACTAAATTCAGTGAAATTTACAGCTACTGAGCTAACGTTTCCCATTGCAGTAGCCGAGTTACATTCGTTACATTTGCTTTGAGCACTAACAGACCTCATAAGATCTCTTGCTATTGCATTATGATCAAGCAATCATTTTCCAGATTTGACCAAAATGACTATAACGCTGTTCTTTCTCATCAAAAAAATAAAAAAGTGGCGAGCAATATGCATTCCTTCAAGAAGTAGCTGGCGTTAATTTTGTGCA